CACACACACACACACACACACACACACACACACACACACACACCCACAAAGATGAAGTCAGAGTGCTAGTGCCCGATAGATAGATAGAGTTTGAGTTTGTGTGAAAGATTATTGAGGTGCTTTCTATGAAAATGAACAGTGCCACCTGAGAACATGTTCAAGATGGAGGGATTAAATTTTTTAGCAACAACACTTGAAGAAAAATCAAGGTAAATATTGCTTGATAAGGAAACACATTTAGTCTACGTCATTTCCAGACATGTTGTACCTTCAAAGATGTGTTTAAAAACCAAACAAAATGAAGGTAAATAATAGTGTTTTGCACACATGAAAGGCTAGTGTCAATTCAAAGCTAAGCGGTGAAGATATTTTTCATTTTTTCACAATAAACTGCTGAAATGTCATTTCCACCACTGTTCTCTCCATCACCACACACATTTATAAAAAATATTGAAACATTTCTAATCACACATTAAAAGTATTACACAATGTATGAGTTCATGCTTTGTTTAACATACAAATTCAGTTTATTTTTTTCTAATAAGCTCTTTAACCAAATTATTAATAAATTTTAGATTGTGACAGGTGTACAATTCAGCTTACAAAAAATGTATAATTATATATATATATATATAGGTGAAGTCAGAATTAGTAGCCCTCTTCGAATCTTTTTCTTCTTTTTAAATATTTTCCAAATGATGTTTAACAGAGCAAGGAAATTTTCCCAGTATGTCTGATTATGTTTTTTCTTCTGCAGAAAGTCTTGTTTGTTTTATTTTGACAAGAATAAAAGCAGTTTTTGATTTTTTAAACATCATTTTAAGGTCAATATTATTAGCCCTTTTAAGCTATATTTTTTCTCGATAATCTACAGAACAAACCATCATTATACAATAACTTGCCTAATTACCCTAACCTGCCTAGTTACCCTAATTAGCCTAGTTAAGCCTTTAAATGTCACTTTAAGCTGTATAGAAGTGTCTTGAAGAATATGTAGTCAAATATTTTTTACTGTCATCATGGTAAAGATAAAATAAATCAGTTATTGGAGATGAGTTATTAAAACTATTATGATTAGACTTGTTGAAAAAAATCTCTCCATTAAACAGAAATTGGAGAAAAAAATAAATAAGAGGTCTAATAATTTAGAGGGGCTAATAATTCTGACTTTAACTGTATAAATAAATATATATATAGAGAGAGAATTTTTTTAATCTATATATTGTGGAAAGATTGGTGAAACTAGATACAAAAATGATCTTAGACCATGTTTGACTGCCATAATCTATTTCATTTTGAAATAAGCTGTATATTTAGATGTGCTGGAATTGACATTTGTTCAGTTCACGGTGGAAAAAATGTTTCTCTTCTTATCTAAGTTTGTCCTCTTTCAGATCTTATAACTAGATTAAATTGTTTAAACTCATGAGGCTGTGTTACGTTATTCTTGAACAAGTTTTTTTTTTTACTCAACATCACATGGCTAAAAGTGCCTGTATATCTATATATATATATATATATATATATATATATATATATATACAGTTAAAGTCAGAATTATTAGCCCCCCTTTTATTTATTTATTTATTTTTTTCAAATATTTCCCAAATAATATTTTTAACAGAGCAAGGAAATGTTTACAGTGTGTCTGATAATATTTTTTTTTCTAGAGAAAGTCTTATTTGTTTTATTTCGGCTAGAATAAAAGCAGTTATTAATTTTTTAAACACCATTTTAAGGACAAAATGATTAGCCCCTTTGAGCTATATTTTTTCGATAGTCTACAGAACAAACCATCG